TGGCCGGGTGCGCCTCGGGCAGCTCCTCCCGCAGGTCGGGCAGGGCCGGCGGCTCAGCGCCGAACGTCTCCTGCTTGAAGGCGGCCAGCATGCAGGAGGGGGAGGACAGCGACGAGAGCTCCATGGAAGCCAGGCCGCTCTGATGCTGTTCCAGGTTCAAAATATCCTTGACCGAGAAGGGAGTCGTTGTCACAGGGCTAGGAAACATTGCGGAGGAGAGCGGGGCAGCGGCCGGAGCCCAGGGTCATGGAAAAGTAGGTGAGGAGCAGCCAACCTGGAGCAGTGGTGGAGCGTGGGCTCACGGAGGGGGCACATAGCATTCCCGCGGGTAGCCTTGCCTTGTGCACTGGAGGCAGGTAGGACCAGACCATAAGGGAATGGAAGGAGGGACTAGGCAGTTTTTGGGTGACTTTAGCTTTCTATTGGCCAACATTGCAGTGATGGTATGAGAGATGCAAAGTTCCATGTCACCTAATATAGTAATACATCTCAAAAACATCCCCACTCATTTAAAGGGGCGGCACTGTATTTATCCAGCTTTTCCCCGCTGAGTTTGTTGATCCATTAAAAAAAAATATCCAGAATGGCCTAGTGTGTACAAAGCCACTATCTGATGCCATCTATCATACAGTCAGATTAAATAAACAGGCTGGGAGGAAACCATCTAACCAAATATGTGCTGATTTTTTTTTTTTTTTTTTTTAAGCGAGGGAACGGAGGTTTCGGTTTTAGTATTCTGCAATATCCGATCCCAGGAACTAGAAAACGAGAGGTCACTGTGATGTGAAGCGCATTCAAGGGGAAATCCGCGCTTAGTTTTTATACAGATATCCTGAAGCAGCACAACACCCGCAAAATCCAGCTGATAGGAGAGAGCCCCAAGTAGCGCCTGCCTGGCTTTGGAGGGGGAAAATGCGGGTTGGGTTTTCCCCTCGCCTGGCTATAAACCTTTCAAACAGAAAAACCCAGCACTGTCTGCAAAGCAAACCAAACCGGCGGGTTGAAGGCGTTGCAAAATACACAGGGGTCCTGGGGGCAAGAGGGGAGCAAGTCAAAGCAACCAGTCGCTGGGCTGC